CCCATTAATTACGCGGATGGCAGACCAAAAAGTAACTCATCCTCCCAACATATCAGCGGCGTGTCAGAAAAAGACAATGGTTCCACCCATTAAGGATGCGTATTCTGTAAAGCTGTGCATGCAACACAGTTTACGTACACAGCATGCATGACAAATTTATTACTCCCAACCATTTACTTGTTTCCATTAAATATTTTACACCATACTCAATCTTTATTTGTTCTTTCTCGTCATATAATTCTGCACCAAACTCAATTTTCTATAATGTCTCTGTTAAGTTATGGAGAGGAGCATCGAGGAACATTGTCAAACATACTCCAATATGTAAGTATTGAATATATTTACTTATAAAGTTTTTTAAATTTTTAGAATATACTTCTGACATTAACCATCTTCTAATATTAACTATTTTATTTTTTAGAATGAGAAAAAATTTAGGCCTCGTACACACTCGTATGTAGGGATGGCAACGGGGCGGGTCGGGGGCGGGTTTAGCTAACCCCACACCCGCACACGCAACTCCAGTAATAGACCCGCCCCCGCCCCCAAACCCGCCGGGGATGGAAATTCACCCCAGACCCGCCCCCAATGGAGAACGGGTCACCCGCACCCGCCCCCACCCGCGAAAACTGTTTTTTTTAAATAAAAAAATATCTATTTTTTTCACAAATTTCCTGGACAGCATTAACAAATACATTAAAAATACAAAATTTGCCATTGATTTGAGTAAATAATTGTAGGATTTAATATTCAAACACCATTCCAAATATTTTTCTATCATAACCCTTCAATCAACTATAATTGGTTGTGAACTTGTGATTCATTAAAAGAGTGTAATCTTTCAATATATCAAAAGTATAAATCACTCCCAACAACCAACAATTTTTTTGCAAAGTACAAATACAAAATTAAAACAATACAATCAATAAAAGAACCATTCCAACAACATGAACAAAATAACCATTCCAACAACATGGAACAAAATATACGATATCATCATAACAAAAAAAATCCAAATAAACAACAAATTTTCTAATAATCTTCATCTTCGAGGCGGGAGTTGGAAATAGAAGTAGCACCATCAATCAACAACTCACCTGTGTTAAAAAATAAAAGTTAAAATATAAAAATTTAACTTGACAAATTTAATACAAATAGTATGAATAATACCTTCATCATCATACTCCATTTCAATTAGTAAAATAGCATTTTCATTTCCCACGTTAGATTTCAAATTATCTATCAATATAGTAAAATATAGTCAATGATAGTCTTGGCAAGTAAAAATAAAAAATATAAACAAGAAATATCTTTATCATTATTCTCAGCACTCCATAACCAACTTCTTGCACACATCAAAGCTTCTAAAGTGGTCCAATGAAGTCGACTTCGATGAGGGCTTACGATATGACCACTTGTACTAAATGCGGATTCAGAAGCCACGGTAGAAACAGGAATTGCCAATACATCTCTTGCAATTGCTTGAAGTGTTGGATACTTAATCCCATTCAACTTCCACCATAATAAAATATCAAAATCTGGACTTCTTGGTAAAACTTCCTCTTCCAAATAAACATCCAACTCTGTTTTAACAGATGAAGTTCTAGCTTTTTTTTTTTTTCTTATGACATACAAATCATAGTCTTTCAAACCATCATTACTAACATTTCCAACATTAGTATCCAACATTTCAGATTCACTTCTAGAATCCTTGTTCATTTTTAATTGATAATCATAAACTAACTCGTAACACAACTGTTTGATTGACTTAACTTGGGAATCAACATCATTCCCATAGAACACTCCATATTAATATTCAAGCAAATCAGTTTTATACCTAGGATCCAAAACAGCAGCAACCCCCATTATTTCATGAATCACACTCCAATATTTTTCAAACTTTACCAACATATTTTCTGCCATTCTTTTTACCAATTCGTCAGAGGATTCAATCCACTCAAGTAATGAAACTTTAATCTGACAAATCTTAGGGAAGTATTCATTGGCAGTTGGATACTTCGTTCCAGAAAACACTTCAGTGATAGAATTGAACAATTTCAATTTTACACAAATCTCTTTTGCAAATTTCCAATGTAAAGTTGTTGGCAAACAAGTGTACTGAGTTACACGAATTGCTAATCTATCAAATACCTCTTCATACAAAATAGCAACATCAAGCATCTTATAGGTAGAATTCCATCTAGTTGGACAATCTAAAATACCTTGCACCAAGAATTTAGTTTTAGATTGTCCAACTAGATGGAATTCTACCTATAAGATGCTTGATGTTGCTATTTTGTATGAAGAGGTATTTGATAGATTAACAATCCGTGTAACTCAGTACACTTGTTTGCCAACAACTTTACATTGGAAATTTGCAAAAGAGATTTGTGTAAAATTAAAATTGTTCAATTCTATCACTGGAACTAAGTATCCAACTGCCAATGAATACTTCCCTAAGATTTGTCAGATTAAAGTTTCATTACTTGAGTGGATTGAATCCTCTGACGAATTGGTAAAAAGAATGGCCGAAAATATGTTGGTAAAGTTTGAAAAATATTGGAGTGTGATTCATGAAATAATGGGGGTTACTGCTGTTTTGGATCCTAGGTATAAAACTGATTTGCTTGAATATTATTATGGAGTGTTCTATGGGAATGATGTTGATTCCCAAGTTAAGTCAATCAGACAGTTGTGCTACGAGTTAGTTTATGATTATCAATTAAAAATGAACAAGGATTCTAGAAGTGAATCTGAAATGTTGGATGCTAATGTTGGAAATGTTAGTAATGATGGTTTGAAAGACTATGATTTGTATGTCATAAGAAAAAAAAAAGAGCTAGAACTTCATCACTTCAAGCAATTGCAAGGGATGTATTGGCAATTCATGTTTCTACCGTGGCTTATGAATCCGCATTTAGTACAAGTGGTCATATCGTAAGCCCTCATCGAAGTCGACTTCATTGGACCACTTTAGAAGCTTTGATGTGTGCAAGAAGTTGGTTATGGAGTGCTGAGAATAATGGTAAAGATCTTTCTTGTTTTTATTTTTTATTTTTACTTGCCAAGACTATCATTGACTATATTTTACTATATTGATAGATAATTTGAAATCTAACGTGGGAAATGAAAATGCTATTTTACTAACTGAAATGGAGTCTGATGATGAAGGTATTATTCATACTATTTGTATTAAATTTGTCAAGTTAAATTTTTATATTTTAACTTTTATTTTTTAACACATGTGAGTTGTTGATTGATGGTGCTACTTCTATTTCCAACTCCAGCCTCGAAGATGAAGATTATTAGAAAATTTGTTGTTTATTTGGATTTTTTTTGTTATGATGATATCGTATATTTTGTTCCATGTTGTTGGAATGGTTATTTTGTTCCATGTTGTTGGAATGGTTCTTTTGTTGATTGTATTGTTTTAATTTTGTATTTGTACTTTGCAAAAAAATTGTTGGTTGTTGGGAGTGATTTATACTTTGATATATTGAAAGATTACACTCTTTTAATGAATCACAAGTTCACAACCAATCATAGTTGATTGAAGGGTTATGATAGAAAAATATTTGGAATGGTGTTTGAATATTAAATCCTACAATTATTTACTCAAATCAATGGCGAATTTTGTATTTTTAATGTATTTGTTAATGTTGTCCAGGAAATTTGTGAAAAAAATAGATATTTTTTTATTAAAAAAAAAAAACAGTTTTCGCGGGTGGGGGCGGGTGGGGGTGACCCGTTCTCCATTGGGGGCGGGTCTGGGGTGAATTTCCATCCCCGACGGGTTTGGGGGCGGGTCTATTACTGGAGTTGCGGATGCGGGTGCGGGGTTAGTTAACCTCACCCAATGGGGAACCCAACAACAAAACCCTTCATCTAACCTCATACAATGTGGAACCCAACAACAATATCCTTCACCTAACCCCACCCAATGGGGCACCCAACAACAATATCCTTCATCTAACCCACCCAATGGGACACCCAACAACAATACTCACATCTTACCCAGTCAACATCAACCAGTCTACCACAAACATCATTAACACTACAAACCCCACATAATCCCAACTATCAGACACCCTAACAACAAATGTCTATTTCCCGGCCACAACAATTTACCTCCCAAGATTGTTACCAACCCTCGATAAATAGCCCAATATCTTCTAATAGAATTGGGAGGAAATCAGATTAAGTTATGACAGTGCAGCCGAGACAGACTATACCAATGAGAACATGATTGAAGAATTTTTAATGAGCGGGTGTGACGCGGGACCTTCAACTCAATCACAAAATGAAGAAGGAAATCGCAGAACAGACCAACGTACTAGACGAGCACCTACTTGTGAAACTCACCAACGATTGACACAACCCGATCAAAATCGACAGTAGATGTATCTTGGAATTATATAATTTAAAATGAAAAAAAAATTAAGTTAAGTAATTTACTGAAATTTTTGTTTATTTATAGTATATTTTGTTTAATTATAGTGTATTTTGTTTAATTATAATGTATTTTATTTAATTATAACAATTTAATTTAGAAAATAAAAAAAAAATTACGTTTGCACTCTTCGGTCCATCCAATGGACGGACCCTCTCTAGTATTTAAAGCATCCGCCCAATACTTCAGTGAAATGGAAAAAAAAATTACACTGCTCTGCCCATTGTATTGGCGGATGAGTTGTGGCAAAAATAAACCATTGTATTGGCGGATGAGTTGTGGCAAAAATAAATTTTAGTTGAAAAGAGGATAGATTGGGATTATTGAATGTAATAGATGATATATTGGGATTTAGTGTGTAAAAAGGGTGTAGGACAGTAAAAAATTCTACTATAGTTAACTCGTTGACAGTATGGAATATCATTAAAAAAGGTACTGTATAAGTTAAGTTTAGGTTCAAGTGCCCTAGTGAGTAGATAGTGTACCTGGTAGCAGTTTTTCATATCAACCAAGTATGTAGTGAATACATTTTTAATTGACAGCAGGATAGCTATATGATGACAGTACAGAAAGTTGCATTGAAACCATGTATGTAGTTTGCCTGGTACAGTGGATTTGGTATTGCTGCTGTCCAAAAAAACAGGAAGAAGTCGAATCGACAGTTACTCAAAATGGAAAATATGACAGTTATTCTATAAAGTAAGAAACGAACATTTTGAAACATTTCATATTGTAGAAACCTAAGTGAGTATATGTTGACTTAAACAAAGAGGTAGTAATATAATGGTTGAAAGTTTAAACAGAATAATGTAATAAACAAAACATATGAAAACTAAATTAAGAACCTATTTAATGAAATCCTTATTATATTCAGCCAAAACATGAATAAACAATCAGCCAAAACAGATACATAAACATGACTCAATATGATGCATACATATAATGAAAATAACAAAAACATAGAGTAGAAACAAACACATAAAGTATCAGTAAAACTCAGAAACATGAATCAGAAAGAAAGCAAACACATAATGAAAACAAAAACATAAAGTAGAAACAAACACATAAAGCATCAGCCATTGGATTCAACCTGAAACTCCCATAAACATTGAAATATATAAAAAGAACTCTGCCATTAGATTAAAATGAGATCTACCCAGTTCTCCACTTAGCTTAGTCTTCTTTCCAAAATTATTGTTATAAAGTTTACTTTGAGAGCTAGTAAAAAGATCTTAGGAAAAGAAACAACATTGTCCTGAAAAATCATCTAAAAAGAAAGGGATTTCTTGGAGAGAAAAATTAAGCAATATAAGGGTTTTAGCTACACACTTGTGTATTTTACATTGTAGTGAGTCTCATTTTAAGTGGATCCAAAAACATTATTACACACCAAAAAAGTTTAAAACTATAACATTTATGTCAGGCAATAAAAAGCCATATAACTATATCATCCTACTCAAAATCAGAATAACAACTAAATTAAGAATAAATTACCTTTTCAAACTAACCTTTAAGAAAATAGCTCTTTGGCTTTCTTTGTTGATTCAAATGTCATAGTTCAATGATATTGTTATGTCTTTACTCCAAATACAAAAAATAAATGAACTACCTATTAGAAAAATCAACCATCAAAATCCTCATTTCCTTCTTCGTGAATAACCTACTAAATGATTTGTGAATGTTAACCCCATCTTCACCAACACACAAATCGCTCATTTCCTTCTTTGTTGTAAACATGTACAAACGAAAGGAATTAGTGCAGTGAAATAAATGGAGGTTGAAGAAGAAGGAGTTGGAGAAAAATAACTGATATTGTTGAAGAATGAACTTGAAGAAGGTGGTCCTAGCAGCGGCTGTGCTAGGGTTTATGGAGAAAAGAGAGAAGACGGGAGAGAAGAGAAAAAGAGGTTTGTTGTTGATGGTGTGAAATAATAATTTAATTCAGACCAATAAAAATTGAACACTTGGCTCATCCATCAGAAAAGATGATAAAGTGAAGGCTTATTTTGTTAGTTACTAAAATGTCTAAGTATTAGTGCAATGCTAATTAGAAAAAGATACAGTATAGTTAGTTTGGTCAATTACTCAATTGAATAGTAATTGTTTGATATTAGACATCTATTTTGCTACTATTGGAAACACTAATATTCCATTAGAGAATATAAAGTGATCGCGAAAAAATTAGAAGATAGTAAAAAATAAGTTTAATATTTATTTTGTTCCCTTAATTTTGGTGTTTGTTTCGCTTTGGTCTCTAAAAAAACGTTACAAAGGGTCTGGTAAACTTTATTTTGTTACATAATATAGTCCTTTTTATTAGTTTTTGTTGAAAAAACGTTAAAACTTATCATGATGGACTTTTAATGGTTGAGGTGGATTATTTTATCATTTTATAAATATTACAATAATAATTATCAAATAAAATAATATGAACAGCCTATTAATGTTGTTAGGGCATAATTTGAGAGAAGAACAAGAAGACTATTCACAAGGCTCCATTGAAGACGATTCACAAGGCTTCATTGAAGAAGATTGACAATGTTCCACTAAAGATGAAAACGGTACCGTTCGCAATCCTCTATTGAAGACAATTAGCATTCATCAATCGTTTGAAGACGAAACCCTAAGGTACGCATTTGCAACCGTAAGTTACTAAAAATGTTAACTTTCTTCTTTACCCAACTTACTTAGTACTTCTTCCACTGTATGTAGGTTGATTGAGTCATGGAGAGTACGTTTCAGTTTAATGTTCATCATTCAGGTGAATTTTCTAGGGAGTTTGTCAATTTTACCAAGTCAGATTATGTAGGGTTAGAGGAAATTTGGGGTTGTGATCCCGATTATTGGAGTTAATTTAAAATATTGGACAAGTTAAAAGAGTTAGATTACCCTACTATTGATAAGTTTGGTATTATGATGAAATTGAAGAAGTGAAAAACACAAGAAGGAGGGTTGAATTGGATTCTTAAAAATCAATGCAAATGACACGATGATTTTTATCCTGGTTCGTTTGATCTCAAACTACTTCAGTCCACCCGCCAAGGTGATTTCGCCTCACTCCAATGAGGTCTTAATTCACTAATCAAACTGATTACAATCTACTTTGACAAATACCAAAGTCTTCTTGAGTACAACCACAACCCGGTTTATCTCAAGGAATTTCACTAACAAAAGTATGAACAAATAGTGTACAGTAGTTTTTCGTTACAAAAACAGTATCACAAACTTGTGATGTATTACACAATTTAGAGAATAATTTGAATATTGAGTTGCAACGTTGAAAGATTGTGAATTGCAGTGTTGTAAAATCGTGAACGGTTTAATCGTGTCCTTTGTTTAAATAGACGCAGCAATCTTGTGCAAAAGGAAACTTGATAATTGTCAGTTAATGCACTTTCCTCAATTAGAAGATCCTTGTCTGTTTGTAGCCGTTGTAATTGATACAGCTTTGATGAATAGTAACGCTTCAGAATATTAAGGAATCTGCTTGCTGCTTTGCTTCAGAACTTGGAAGGTCAGAATCATAAGGTCATGTTTGCAGCGTTAGACTTTCGTTCATATTTAAAATGTCTTTCTCTTAGCGCAAATTATGATCTTCATACATTAGAACATTCCGAGATCAGTCTACGTTCACAGCAGGAACACCTTGTAGCTTAACTTCTGATCTACTTCCGTCAGAACTTCTGTACAAAATGGAACATAATTTTAGAGTGCATATTTCTTCTTTGTGTTTGTTATCATCAAAACTCTTACGAGGATTGTAGAATCATACTATGTTCTAACAATCTCCCCCTTTTTTATGATGAAAAAAACTAGGATTTTTCAATTAAAATAGACATAACATAAAGCTTTAGAGAGTCTCCCCCTGAGTTGAGTACTCAGATAGAGATGAATTACTTTCCTGAAGTTCATTCTGATCAGAGATTTTGATGTATCTCCTTATGTCTTCATCAGAGTTTTGTACCTGTTTTGCTTTCAGGAAAAAAACGATAAGTTAAGATATTTAGAATGTTTGAGACCTTGTCCCGATATACTGTTATTGAAAATATCTTACGTTCTCCCCCTTTTTGTCAAGAATCAAAAAGCAATATAATCACTGATATTCAGAGTCAAAAAGATGATTCATATTAAAACATATTTCAATAACATTTTCATAGCCAGATGAAACAAGATAATGAATGCATAAAACAAGTTATAAAAAGATCTAAGATTGAGGAGGGAGAAGTCGTGTGAACAACGCTTCCAGCAAGCTCTTAATCAAAGTGCTTGATTCCTCTTGCTTTCCTAGCATTTCCTTGATTTTTTTGCTCGTGTCTTCTTGCTTATCCAATCTTTCTTTGATTACTGCATTCTCTTTCTTTAACTCTTCCAGAGTTTGCATAACCAAAGATGGAGTTGGCGTATCCTCAGAGGATGCAAGTTTCTCAGAACACTTTGTAGGATTTTTTGATTCAGTGGCTTCTTTAGTTCTTTTTACTTTTCTTGAATAATAGTAAGAGGAAGGTTTTCAGAGCATGGTTCAATAACTTCTTAAGGTTGGTGCTCTTTCCAGGGAGATTGTCCAGCTGAAGGATAGATTTCTTTTCCCAGTGACTTAGAACTTGATCTTTGAAAGCTTTCAGCTGATCACAGAAATTCTGTTGAGCCAGTTCATAGCTTAATTCTGTGAGCTTATGGGATTCTGAGTTGAACCATCTTCTGAACTGATTCCAGTGAGAATCAGAAGCAGTAGGATTTGGATTTTCTAAACTTGCTTGCTTCAAAGAGTTAACCCATTCCATTAATATTGTTTCAAAAATCAATAAGTTCTTACCAACATCTGCTTTAGTTATAGTTGGCTTAGGTTTGGGAATGGCTATTTTGTGAAAGGTTGAGGCTAGGTGGTCTAGTGCTTCTAAGTCAATGATTGTTTTGAGGTGATGATCTGGACGATTGGTAGGAGAGGGAGTAGGTGAATCAGAAATGATGATTGGTGATCAAGGTGTGTTTGGTGGAGTGGAATGATAAGGTGATGGAATTTCTGAAATGTCTAGAATAGAAAGAGGTTGTCGAACCGTGAGAGGTTCTGTGATTCCAGGAATAGGTGTGGTGGTACCAAAGTCTGTGAAAGAATCTTCTAGTTGGTTTGCAGTAGCGTTTGGATTTTCTGGGTCATTGGTTTGGAAGTTTGGATTTTCAGTTTGGGGAGTGTGAAGGTTTGGATTTTCTGTTTGGGGAGTTTGATGGTTTGGATTTTATGGCTTAGGAATTTGAAATTTTGGATCAAATAGATCAATATCAGAAAGAACTCTATGAAGTTCTGGCTGATTTTGTTCTAGGTGTGGATCGGGAGAGTGAGGTTCACTTAGGATGTTTTCTAGAGTTACAGAAGGATCAAACTCTATATCAAAATCTTCAAATGTTTGAGGTGAGGGATCTTTTGTTGGTTTAGGAGAGGAGGGTGTTTCAGATGTTGGAAAAACTATTGATTCTATAACAGAAATAAAAGAAGTGTTACCTTTATTTTTAGCAGCTTTTGGAGTCCTTTGAGAAGATCCTTCTCCTGCAGCTTTTCTCTTTCTGGACTTATTTAAGACAACATCTGGAGCTTGCTGATGCAGATCACGAATATTAAGTTCTGGAGCAGTTCCGTCCTTCTTGCATGCTTCTAAGTATCTGACCACTATTTCTGGTGAAGCATCAATCTCAGAAAATAGAGGAAAATATTTCAGAGGGGTTCTCCTTGAAGTGATGACTTCATGTGTAGCAATGGTTGGCTCCTTCTTAATATTGTCAATAATCTTCATCTTTTTCAGATTCTTGGCATTAAGGGGTTTTCCAGCACATGCCTCTAGCGTGCTTATCTACTGAGCTTCTGTCAGATGCTCTATTAACCTATTCTCAGTCATAATATCGAAAATTAACCTGCCCAGAGGTATCCAATCCCTCTTGATCCTTTCTTCTTCTCTTGTTTCCTTCACGCTTGTTCCCAGATAATTGAAAACTAAGTGAGGAAGGTTTATTCTTGTCTTCTTTGAAATGAAATAAAGCAGAAACTGTTGATCAATATTGATGTAGTCAGGAGAGCTTGTTGGCTTCTTGTGGTTTATACAGCCCAAAATGATCTTAGCCCAGATTCTGTAGTAATCCTTCAGATCTCTAATCTTGTTAGATGGCTGCCCAGAAGTGAATATTACTCTTGATATGACTTTTAGGTTAGAACATTTCTCAGCCATGTCGTTGCACCTGATTCCGCCGCCATTATACCCAATCAGCTTTGCAACCAAATCTTTAGTAATTACAATTTTCTTCCCCATTACATAGGTCGTTACTTGATGATTTGAGGAAGTTGCATGAATCTAGAATTCCTTTACCAGAATTGGGAACACTGGTCCTAGAAGACGATCGAAATACCTGTTCCAACCTTGAGCAGTTACATCTACAGATAGATCAAACCCATTCTCCTTCAAGCTTTTAAAGTCGATGATAAGCTCACAGAGAACTTCAAGAGAATCAATTGGAGTGAGAAAGGTTCTTATCGGTTCTTCGTACTACTCTGTTGTTGATGATGAACCAGGAACACTTTGAAGATTTTTAGCTCTTGAGGAAGATGCCATTGTTCACACTGACTATTTGAGATTTCTAAGAAAAAGGGTTTTTGCAAACGAAAACTAGAGAGAAAAATAGAAGCGAGAAGAAGTGAATGTGATAGTGATTATGTATTTATAATCAATTTG